GGGAAAGAGGGGGAGAGAGAGATAGAAACATCAATGAAAAAGAAACATGGGTTGGCTGCCTCCGACATGCCCTCTGCTGGGGATCAAACCTGCAACCCAAGCATGTACACTGACTGGGAATCGAATCTGTGACCTCTTGGTTCCTGGGTTGATGCTCAACCACTTACCCACCACACCAGCGGGTTATCTAGGTAGTTTTTGATGTGCATGTGTCTGTAAGCATTCTCTTTAAAATTACCGAAGCATAAAATGAAATTATAGTAGTGAATTTCTAATTAAGAAAGATTCAGCCTTGTTATGGTGATAATGACAGGACAACAATGAACATTTAAGGACTAAATTTGTATTGTTTATGCTTTGACATCTGTCTTAGGAGAATATTGTCCGTATAAAGATGTTAGAACTGTTGATTGAAAAGAACTTGTGTAAACCTTAGGAAATTTTAAAGCTTAGTCTAGAGAGGCACTTTCTATTTCCCCAGCTCTTTTTCAGAAATAGTAATTTCTATTAGATAAGATTATATAATGGTTTTTAAATCCTATTCTCCATTTAATACTAGTTTAGCATTTCAGCCAGTTTTTAGCATAACCAGTTTTTTCTTATTTCTGTAGCTTCTCTAAAAGGATAAATTAGATTAATAAAGACTTACTCTGATAACATTTTAAAGAACAACTTGTGTAAATTTTTCTCTAATATATAGAATATAGACATGCAGATGTGATATTTATTTTATAGGTTTAGAATAGCCTTTCTCAGTGAGCTTAATCTGTAATGCACTAAAGCAGTATTTCTGAAAGATTATTGTACTTCAGAATCACTTGGATTACCTGTTAAACCACCCTAGAGTTTCTAATTCAGTAGGTCTAGGATAGGCTGAGAATTTTCATTTCTTACAAGTTCCCAAGTGCTACCGATGTTACTAGTTGGTAAAGCATACTTTGTTATTATGCTCACTGCCTTAAGACATCATCCATTCTTGGTAATAAATTAGTCTTCTAAACATCTAGAATGGTATTATTTATATATTATCCTGGGGAAATTGAGAAAACAGTCACTTAGTAATTTTCTCTTTGTGTGGTTGAAATGAGGACCCCCTAAATGAAAAGAAGTATTTTAGAATGATATAATTAGTGTGGTGAAAATGGGCATATTGTTTAATATCTTCAGGATCTTAAATATTTCACTGTTATGCTTACATTTATAAACATTTCTGTATTTTTAACAAAAATGCTATGAATCCTTGCTTGTTAAGTAGATACCATTTTCTAGATACATATTTGCTTTATAAATACACTTAGAAGCAAATGAATTAACGGTCACCAACCGGTGGTTCGTGGACCACTGGTGGTCTGTGAGGTCCGAAAGGTTGGTAACCACTGAATTAAGTGATATATTTTAAGCAAAAACTTGCTCTATTTCAGAATGCTAAGGAATCTTTTTAGACTTTTTTTAACCCTCACCCGAGGATATGTTTCCATTGGTTTTTTTAAAAAATAACTATTTTGTAATTTTTCTATTTACTTTTACAGAGAGTGGAAGGGAGGGGAAGAGACAGAGAGAAACATGTTAGAGAGACAGCATTGATTGGTTGCCTCCCACACTTGTCCCAACGAGGGCCAGGGATCAAGCCTGCAACCCCAAGTTACGTACCCTTGACCAGAATCACAGCCAATTTGGCTAGGGCAGGGGTGGGCAACCTTTTTGTGAGTGCGTGCCCAACCCAGCAAAATCTCTGACTCAGAATTCTTCTGCGTGCCAGCCCTAATTTTTTGAGAACATGTTACACCTACTTGATATTTCTTTTTATTTTATTTTATTGATTTTTTACAGAGAGGAAGGGAGAGAGATAGAGAGTTAGAAACTTCGATGAGAGAGAAACATCGACCAGCTGCCTCCTGCACATCTCCCACTGGGGATGTGCCCGCAACCCAGGTACATGCCCTTAACCGGAATCGAACCTGGGCTAGGGCTTCCATTGAGTTTTAAAGAGAGGAAAGGAGTTAGGGAGGGATAGAGAGAGATTGATTGCCTCCTGCATGCGCCCTGGCCCCGACCTGGAGTTCTCGGATCTGAGGGCCATGGTTTTAAACACTGACTCAAACAGGCCAAAGCTTTTATTTTTTTTTTAAATATTTATTTTTTATTGATTTCATAGAGAAAGGAAGAGGGGGAGAGAGAGATAGAAACATCAGTGATGAGAGATAATCATTGATCATCTGCCTCCTGCACGTCCCCTATTGGGGATCAGTCCCACAAACCTGGGCATGTGCCCTGACCAAAAATCAAACTGTGGCCACCTGGTTCATAGGTCGATGCTCAACCACTGAGCCACACCGACTGGGCGAGGTTTTCTTGAAAGTAAAAGATATGTGCTTGATGCTTACTTGTGTTTAGAGTGCCGTTGAAACTAAGTTCCGCATATTCGTATATCACTGTATTTCTACTTTACGTCTAGAGAAATGGGTAGGAAATGAGTCAGTGGATACAGCTTACCTGAAGATATCAGTAATAAGAAAAAAACAAAGCCAGTTCAAGACAGTTTGAATTGTCTTAATAGAATGATACCCTTTGTAGTACTTTAAGCAATAACAAAAGAAAGAAAGAAAGAAAAAAGAAATAGAATGACTCAGAGAGAGAGAGAAGCTTCAGTGCAAGAAACATCAATCAGCCCTTCTCCCGTTTGGCTCAGTGGATAGAGCATCAGCCCATGGACCAAAGGGTTCCGAGTTCGATTTTGGTCAAGGGCACCTACCTTAATTGCAGGCTCTTCCCTGACCAGGCCCTATTCAGGGCGTGTACAAGGCATGTGTTTCTCTCACATCGATATATCTATTTTTTGCTTTCTCTTCCACTCTCTAAAGAACAATGGGAAAATATCCTCAGGTGAGTATTAAAAACAAAAAGAAAGAAATAGAAAGACTCGGTCATTGTAAAGAAGAAAAGATATGGTACACAAATATGTAATTATAAATTCTATAACTTAATTATAGAATTAAGATAAAGCCTGGGTTACTTTTCACTCCAGTAGTTATCTTTTATTCAGAAAACATCCACTTTGCTTTTGTCATGTGGAGCATTTTTAACTTGATCTTTTCCTATTTTTAATTTCAGGGCAGCAGCAATGACTCTCCGCACGGTATTATTGTCATTGCAAGCACTGTTGGCAGCTGCAGAACCAGATGATCCACAGGATGCAGTAGTAGCAAATCAGGTAAGATAGCTGCTGCTTTTGAAATACGCTTATATATTTATCTTTTGAAAGACGCTTATATATTTACCTTTTAGTCTCTAGGTTAGTGGTTTTCATTGTTAACATATGAGCATACTTCTATCAAACCTAAATTTGGAAATGGTTTCCTTTCTTGCAATAAGGTTATTTTGTCAGATATAATAGTGAAAAGTTAATGTCTTCTTTTATTAATCTGAAAAGGTAATTTCTTGATTTTTAATATATTAACTTAATTGGGTATATGGTAGATTTTTTAACATATTATAAAAATTTTCAAACAAATAATGTTAAAAGAATTAGAGTGGTCCCAACCGGTTTGGTTCAGTGGATAGAGCATTGGCCTGCGGACTGAAGGGTCCCAGGTTCGATTCCGGTCAAGGGCATGTACCTTGGTTGTGGGCACACCCCCAGTAGGGGATGTGCAGGAGGCAGCTGATTGATGTTTCTCTCTCATTGATGTTTCTAACTCTCTATCCCTCTCCCTTCCTC